CTTATTTTTTTTTTTTTTTTTTTTTTTTAAATTGCATTTTTTTATAAGTCGGATCTCTTGTTAAGTCAGACACCATGTCCAGCCATTTGTGTCCGACTTATCGAGTTTACCTATGTACTATGAAATTTACCAAGAAGAAAGAATAATAATAAACATTAAGAAAAGAAAGAAGGATGAAGGTGTGCTATCATCTAACAAAAAACAGAAATCACTTGGAGAGAAATAAAATGCAATAAATCTTATTATTACATGCTGATCTATTTTTTCTTTTTAATCCTTTTAACAACATAAATCATAGCAATTATAAAACCTAAGATTAAAGTTGTACCTGCTATTCATAACCAAATACACTGCTTGGAAGAAAGTATCCGAACCTCATTTTTAATTAATTCTGTAAATTTTTACATAGTAAAAAAAAAATTAAAAATATCATTTTGTAACCTAAGTTCTAAGATATAATTAAGGAAATTTTTATTCTTCTGTCATTGATAGAAAATTTGTTATTAAACATAATCTAATGATAATAAAATTGATTAAATTCAAAAAAATTTTTTTTTAAAATTCCGAATTAATTGAAGTTGAGGGTGGAAAATTTTTGGGCATTAGATCAAGTGGTAGCAGTCTTAATAAAATTGTAAAAATACTCAGGCTTCCAAAAACTACAGTTTATGATACCATTAAATGTTATGAAAGAATCATTTTACAAGAGGAATGGTCTAAAATTCCTGAAGAAATTTACAATAAACTGATTGAAAGCATGTCGAGAAGGATTGAGGCATTCATATCTAATTATGGATATCCGATAGGATATTAAATTTTTTATTAGATGTGATGATGTTTTAATAAAATTTTGATAATCATTTTTATATTTTTTATATTAATTGAAGTTTGTTTTTCTTTGATTAAAAAATCAATATAAATAACAGAATTATGAAATTTCGCATACACATTCACTAGAACATAAGCTACATGATGATATTTTTTAATTTTTTTTTTACTATGTAAAAATTTACAGAATTAATTAAAAACGAGGTTCGGATACTTTCTTCCAAGCAGTGTAGATTTACCACCAAACTTTTCTTCATTCTTTGAAGTAGTGACGGGCATAGAAATTATTTTGATAAATGTCCAAATTATTAAGTACTTAATAACAATTTATTTAAATCTCCAATTTCATATTTAAAAAACTTAATTTTAAAAAAAAAAAATAATATAAATAAAAAAGAAACCTAAATTTATATTATTATTCAACCAACAATTGAACCAAAGATATTACTATGTTTTTTTTAAATCATCCTGTAAATTTTTTAAATCCCATTTAGTAATTGGACCATTATATTTTTTTTGAAGGTTATTATGTTTTTTAGGTGTTGGGTGGCATTCTGGTATATCTTCTAATGTAAATTTACGTTTTAATTGATTGTTAAGATTTATCCATCTTTCGAGTGAATTTTCTATATTTTCATCTTAAGGATACTGGCTGCAACTTTTGATGATGGTTGCTACCCTCTTTGCGTCATATAAAAACGATTGCAACCACCTTTACAACCATTTTGTTTCCTTTATTGGATTGCGACATGGAACACTATTTCATCTGGTTTATTAATTATTTCCATAGTACATAAAATTGTATTCTGAATTTAAAAAAATTTTTATGAGTGATATAACCAACATTTGCTGATCAATATTAAAAATAATATATTAATCAATAAAACTAACTTTTGCATATAATACAGTAACAAATGCATCCAAAGATTTTCCGAATTGCTTCACATCAGCATATAATTCACAAGGTTTGTCTTTTGTATATCTGCAAACATAACCTTTAGGACAGTCTAGGTTCATTTTAATCAAAACTGCACCTGATGCAAAAAGAGAAATTGGTTTTTGATAAGAATTTAGGTCAAGAAATTTAGGAACAGAAATAACATACAAACCAGCATGAATAAATCCAGGTACGTCAATATTTCTTATTTTAGTCTCGTCGTAATTGACCTTTTTTGCAAGATACATAAAAATATCCTTCATTTGTTTGGGTAAATGAAGCCCACCTTCTTTAAGGATTTTGGTACCTTTTTCTCCTTCCCAACAAGGACCCACTTCTGATGCAGCCCAATCAATGGGTATTTGCCCAACTTGCCTAACAAATCCATCACCTTTTTTCCCGATAATTTTCCTTTCCATGGGGGCTATGTTGCTCAAAGTTCTGAATTGATTTTTCCTTTCAGCACTCGCTATGCCAGCTTTCTCACCTCTAAACATGAGAAAAGACAAAGTAAATAAGGGAATCAGCATACAAATTTCACATATTTCTGCTGTAACTCATCCATACCCGACTACAAAAACATACGGAACATCTGAAAAAGCGATATCAATGCATCGCCACACATTTACACGATACCAGGCTTCTGGAAGATCTAATGTGAGAGGATTAGGATCTGATTCTAAGAGTACAACCCTGTAAAATTATAATTTAATAAGATTTTAAGTGCTTATCAATGTTTGTGACTGTCAGTCCATCTAGGATGGTATCATTCAAAATTAATGATTATTTACCAATCAGCAACGGTCATTTTAATATGATGATAAAAAAAATCTTTCTTTGGATCATAATTTCGTCCCAACTTTGGATGTTCTCGGTTTAATTCTTCACGAATTTCTGCTGTACTTTGCTGTATATAAACAAAGAAATACAGTTATAGGTTGACAAAAGAAGTATAAATAGCAAAATAAAAAATATACAATTTACTTTAACAAAGGTACTCAGATATTTTAGTTGGTCCAAGTCTAATGGTGGTGGAGGTCGGTAATTTTGTTGAATAACTTCATCTAATTCCTCTTTAGTAAAGGCAGAACATATGTATCCTTCCTCCGGATCAAGAATAAATGAATGTACTAAACTAAAGCGAATAATTGTAAATAATTATTGAAATGTTTATCATTTTCCAGAGAATGAATACTTACTTGCTATACTTGCAATTTCTACCCAATTCATACAAAATATCTTCAACGATCCTTCCACTCTTCAGCTTCCATTTGTAATTAGGATCCATCTTTTCAAATCTATATATATATAAAGATGAAACTCAAATTCCAATTTGGAAAAGATGAATGAATAATAGAACACCATACCGTTTTGTGAATAATTCCAGATCTTTGGTACCAAACTCATCTTCAACGTTATTATTAGAAGTTTGCTGAGAATTTTTAGTTCATCGGAATGTATGATCAAAACAAATAAGAAAAGTCATCTACATATTGTCAAGGTTCAAGCGAGGGATTTAGAATTGATAAAACAAAATACCTCAGATGGATCAAGTTCATGGGATATTTGATCAATTTCTTCATCAACCTATTAAAAAATATCATGACTGTTATTCGACATAATTTGAGAACAGGCCAAGAAGCTGTAAAAGAAAACTTACAATTTGTTCACTCTGGTAACCATTTACATTGCTGCCGGTTTCTGCATTGATATCTATATCATTGTTGCTGTCCTTTTTTAAATTATATTATAAATGAAATTAATGATAATCCACTAATAAGAGAACAAGATAGTTGCGGAAAAATTACTTGTGAAAGTGAGGATAATTGCTAATTTATTATATTATGATATTACAAAAAAATTATTAAAAATGTTCGTTAAAAAAACAAATTAATCTGTCTTGTCCATTTAAAGAGAATATAATTTACTTACATGAAGTGAATCATTTTGATTTTTCATGGATAATATTTCTGTCACTTCATCATGCTCTTTTACTGTTCCTTTAAACACATTCGGGGATCTTTCATTCTATATTACATGAGAAAAGCACAGCGAAAGAAATCGGAATTTAGCTTAACAAAGAATGTGTAAATAAAGAATGAAGAAAAGAAATTTTCATTACTTTTAGTTCACGAGTTTTTGCAGAAACTATTCTCTCTTTTAGGGTTGCTTGTCTCTCCACATTCATGTTAACCGTTCTAGTCGTTCTGGTCGTATTGATAGTAGCAGAATTATTAAATTAAAATTAATTAAAAGCAAAGTATTTAATTTGATTCAAAAAACTAGAATGACGACAAGCCATCGTTCTTTTTAATAATAACTAGAGTGACGACGAGTGGCGGGCGATAGCCACCACCACCATCCTTCTTAAAACACTTACCTTTCTCTTTCATGTGGGTCTATGTTGGCTTTTCTTCTTTTTCCAGTGGTGAAAGACATTTTGTTTATTTTTTTTAATTTTTAAGAAGTTTTGTGATACAATTGACGCGTAGCATAATTATTTATCCTATGGTTTTTTATTTTGGTAGGACAGACGCGAATTGATTTTTTTTTTTTTCTTGGAAAAACAATTTATTTTTTGACAGAGTCCAAGGTGACAAAACGTGAGTGTTGTTGTTCAGTTCTCCTAAAGAAACGTGTTAATAACTAACCAGAGGTACTTTTTTTTATTTGTATTGATATTTTTTATTTTATATAAACATTTTAATTGGAATCAAACGTGGAGCAGATCTTGCTGGGTAATTACAAGATTTTCATTGATAATATTTTGCTTTTCGTAATCAATAATATTAATAATATTAATATTACTATATAATTACAAGAAGATGTCAAGGCAACACACCATTGAATATGAAACATTTTGAGTATGCAACATTTGATTACAGGAAATTGGCAGGCGTTGAAGCACGCACGCTGCCTTGAACACATTACAGTCATTCACACGTATTCCTAGTGTACATAAGGCTAATCTGACCACGGTGCTCCCGATGATACAATGATGTTGAATTCCAGGGGGGGGAAAGGCCCTGGAGTTTACCGAGACTGCATCAATCGTCAATGACACTTTCACTAATCTCCCCAGATCAGAGATGGCTGCTGGCATGCTAGCCGAAAAGTTGTCTGCAACGATCCTACCTCTAGGGCAAGGATGGCACTGTGACCAAGTTGCAACTCTGCTGATGAACTGTAGTGCCATGTAAATATCCAGATCCATCAAAGCAATGAGAATCTGCAGCTCGTTTCAAGCACAGGAGGTCACAATCCAGAGCAGGGTTGGTGGCCATTGAAATTGCATTTGGACTCTGATGTTAAGAGGAAAGTTGTAAAATAGTGTCTGTTTTGTATAATCATTTTCGTAAATTCTCTGTTTAACCAATTTAATGATTTTGAATAGGGGACTGGATTGGGTTTTTGCCCAATCAGTCCTCTGTCCTGTAGGTTAAAATTATCACATGATTATATACATCCTTGTCAGCAATATGGCTAACAAGGAAAAAGTTATAAAATGGTTCGGATTTTGGTATGTTATAAGTTACACATTTTCCCTAATTTTCTGCTTCTAAAGCTCCGAAACGGGCTGGGCTAACCTGAAAATTTTCAGGTCGGGTTCATTCGGGCCGGGTTCGGGCTTAAAAATTTTGACCCGAAAGTTTTCAGGTCAGGCCCAATTCGGGTTCGGGTTGTTGGTTGGGACCGAACCGAAAAACCCGAACCCGACCCGAAACCCGAAAACTTTTTGGACTGTACCAATTATACTTGAGATCAAAATTATTAAATTGCAATTAAAAATCCTAAAAATTTGCATTGCATCACCTATCATAATTTTATACAATTGACACAAGATGCAATTCGTGATGCAAGTCTCAATTCATGGTGCAAATATGATTCATGACAATTTATTAGCTAACAAAACCTTTTTAGCTATGAAGCATTGATGTTACATTAAAAATTAATAAATTAAAAAGTTTTCATGCAATAAATAAAGAGTTTTATATGTGGTTAAAGTTTGAATTAATTCATACACACATCATGATTGTGTTTTGTGTAGTGATGGTGGCTAAAATTATTTTAACAAATCTGAAATAGCTTATCTATAGAAATTAGGAATTTAGGCTCCTAAACTAGTGACGAAACTTAAATTATGGTCAAACTCCTAAACTGTGGTTAAATTGTCAAACCTATGACCAAAGTTTTATGATAAATAAAACGGATTTATCGAAGTGCCGTCCAATCGTATGCCGGACATGTGATCTATATAGTTGTATTTTTTATTAATATATTTATTAAAAAAGATTATGATTATCATAAAAATAATGTCATTTTTGACCCAATTTGTTTTGTAATAATAAAACAAATCAATTCTTTTTTTTTTGTTCAATAAAACACTTTTGTGGTCGGAAATTAAACAGTAGAGTTTAATTGACTGTTCGGTTTTCACCTGCAGTTTAGGTTTCGCCGACTTCACCGCAAAATTTGGCCTAAACTATGATTAGTTCCGGCCGTCATCCACCAGCCTTGTGTCTTTAATTATGTATTGTGTCACGAATTGTCTTAAATTACGTCTTGCGTCACGAATTGCCTTGAGTTACGTCTTGCGTCACGAACTGAGTTCTACATCTCTTGCATCATAAATTGTGTTTAGCGTCATGCATGACACAAATTACAGCTTTTAAACCACTATAACTATTTCGCCTTTTATATTTAATTAATTATTATTATGTAAATCACAAAATTTTCTTATTAACCCGAAATCAACCCGAAATCAACCCGAAAATTTCGGGTCGGGTTCGGGCCGGTCTCGGGTTTGCCTTTAAAACATTCGGGCCAAGCCCGAACCCGACTCGAAATTTCGGGTCGGGTTCGGGTTGACACTTAACCCGCCCGAACCCGACCCGTTAGGAGCTTTAATTACAAGTTTGATTGCGAATTAGTTTTTTACAATCTCTTCCATCAATTTTTATCAGTTATGGCAACTTAGAATATGGTGGAAAAAAGCACCTTTACAAGTTTTTTTCATCTTGCATACAGTTACAAAGAACAAACAGGAATTCTTAATTATTACAAGTTTGATTGCGAATTAATCTTTTACAATCTCTTTCATCAATTTTTATCAGTTATGGCAACTTAGAATATGGTGGAAAAAAACAAGTTTTTCTATATAGTAATTTTCACGCTTAGATCAATTTTTATATTTAATATTTAAAAGCTTACAAACTTTTTTATCTAACACTAAATTTTAATTTTTAAAAAATTAAAAAAAAAAAATTAAAAATGAATGCCAACACCAACACCAACACCAACACCAACAATAATAATAATAATAATAATAATAATAATAATAATAATAATAATAATAATAATAATAATAATAATATCATCTATATACCATCACCACCATCGCCATCTCTTCCTCCTCCTACAACTCGGGCTCCCAGGACTTCCAGGGCTCCCAGAGCTTCCTCCCGCACCCAACCTACCCTCTCGCAACGTGTTCAACAACTTGAACAACAAATTCAACAACTTCAACAACAATTCCAACAACATCAACAACAAGACCTACAACAACAACAACTTCAACTACAACTCCAACAACAACTCCAACAACTTCAACAACAAATTCAACAACAACAGCAACAATTTCAACAACAATTTCAACAACAACAGCAATGAATTGCTGAACTCTCTTCCTCCTCCTCCCTACCCATCTACATTATCATTATCATTATCATCATCATTTTTTTATATTTGTTTTTTTATTTTTATTAATAAAATATATATTTTATGTTCGAACTTTTATTAAGAATGATTTCAGATGTTAAAATCATGCAAACTATGAAAGTATTTTTGTGGGAAATTCGTGAAATGAATGTCTTTGCACATGTATAAACGTTTTTCTTAAATCACTAAATCAAAATTATTCACTAATAAAACTAATTCGTTAGTGGCCAATTCATTCTGATCCACATAATCATAAATTTATATTGTTATCATCAATTAACACGCTCTCCCAACAATAATTGTTGACATTACTTCTATATACAACATCCATATGAACAAATTGTTAATTATCATAATCACAAAGTAATTATCTAATCTTACTCCCTTCTCCAATAAATAAACCATTCCATCATTTCATTCCTATCTTTATATAATTGATGTCTTCCCTCTTTATACCATGTTTTGTTTACTAACATTACATTATTACATTTGCAATTTTTACTGGATCTTCAATTTGCTTTATAATTTTACCAATCAGTTCTGATGGTAATACAAACTCTGGTGTTTTCACCTCTACACACTCAATTTCTTCTCTGACCTCTACTATATCACCAGCTTTGAATGGGTCCCTACTATCATTGAGGGATTTTAGTGCATTGCCAATATAGCTGAAAATTTGAGTAATATATTTGAACATTTTTGTTTTGTTTTATATAGAATACAGAAATGTTTAATCCAAAAATTTTATTAATTTTAGAGTTCTTGTTTTGGTATCAACTGCTCCACTTTGCTATGCAGATTGTTTTCACTTTGTTCTATACCTATTAGTGTACTGAATTTTGTTTTCTTAATATGTCTATCTATCTTGTATACTTCTTTTATTTTCTACTTTGTTCTCTATTATACATGCAGCCCAAATTGGTTTGGTGATTTCAATGGTCAAAATTATTTCAATTTTGATGGTAGAAAGTAGAAATTAATTATGGCACTCACTATTAAAAACATGTGTAACACCCCTTTATGACACGTGTAACCCCCTTTATGACACTGTCAAGATACTTTGGGCTGCATGTATGTTCTCTATACCTTGTTTTCCATAGCTCCACTTCATTCCACTTACTTCTCACTACACTTGTCAAATATAAAATATAAATGAGGGTAATGAAAACTACTTTGTTCTCTGCACCTTGTTTTCATTAAGCTACACTTCATTCTGCTTACTTCTTGCTATGCTCAAATGATGAAAGTTACTTTGTTCTCTATACCTTGTTTATAAATATTATGACAAATTTTTGTTTCTTTGATGTGGCCTGGAACATGTTTCACATCACATTTTTTATGTAGCTTAGAAAAAAATTCACCATATGCGAATGATTTCCGGGTAGGTTACACTTTTATCCCTGTGTTCAGAGGGATACAGCTTTAGCCTGGTGAGGGATAAATATAAATACACGGATATATCTCTGATCACCTGGTCCATAGATCTTGAGTAAATTATCCGACCGATACCCAAAGATCGATAAGATTGATAAGGGGGGATATCCCTCTTATATGATTTCCCAGGCTGAGGCTTTATCCCTACGAACTGAGGGATAAAGGTGTAACCTTTCGGAAATTGTCTGCATGGGCTGAAAAAATTAGTATACTATGGTATAAAACTTAATTATGTTGAAATTGGTGTGAAATTAGCCTCTGGAACACTTTTGTAGATATAAATGATATAAAAAATCTAGTAAAAAGTATGTCTCTGTCCAGAACCAGTAAAAGTACACAAGACAATGATCTGCTCACCTTCATCAGCAATACCTTCCCCTGGGTTCACAATAATAACTCAACACATATAACACCCTTGATCTTTTTCTTTTGGTATTAGTATGTTAACATTAATGTGGCTCACATAAACCAATCCTTTCTTTTCTAGAACTTGCTTTCAATATCAGAATCACTAATTATGTTAAAAAAAAAAATCATTTAGATTAATTTATAAAGAATCTATTTTTTATTTTTTACTAAATAATTTTTTGCCATTATTTTCTGGTTCACTTATTGAAGCATCATTGTTTTTCTCGAGTTGTATTTTCTCCTAGACTTCTTGTAATTGGAATTTTATCATTGTGGAAAAAATCTATTTCCTGAATACCTTGTTCAATTTTTTTTGTTATATCAACAAAATAATTAGTAATGATTAGTGGAGTACATATCTCACAATAAATAAAATTTTCAAATTTCTGCTAGAGTTTCTATTTGTAAATTCATAATGCAAATTCTTATTCGAATTATTCATAATACACAACTCAATCTTAATTTGAATCATTCGTTTTATTTTAAATAGAAACTCTGGTTCTGGTCAAGTGCAAGGTTTTCTTTCCAGCTGCACATGCACTATTATTGCAGGCGAGTTCTGGTCAAGTGTCTCAGTTTTCTTTCCAGCTTCACATGCTCTAAAAAAAATAGAAATATACTACTTGAGGCAATATAGTAAAATTAAAAAGGTTCCTAACTAATAGTTAAAGGTTAGCCAACCCATTAATTATCAAAAGGATTATGAATCAATCACACCAGCTTTATTAATTAATTACAGTTTTATTATCAAATGTACTGTATATTATTAAAAAATTGAAGGAAATTTTTAAGTGTATAATTAATACTTGAAGTATCACAAACAACATGACTTTTTACATGATTTTGTCCAATAAAATCTAATTAATTACTAATGTTAAATGCCAAAATGCATCATTGATGATATAAAATGAATTGATTGACAAATGTATATAGTAATGAAATACGACTAAATGATTTATATTGTTGCCATTGATAATGATAGTTGTGACATCAACATTGCAGTAGTATTGGTGATATTGGTATTGTCGATGATATTATTTGAAAACGTTTAAGGTGGTAGGTAGAAGCTGTTGTGCAATAATGGTATCATGGTTTAAAGTTATTATTATTATCACTGTTATTTGAAAAATGATTTTGTTTATATATAATTATAATAATAATTTGTAGAATTATCTAATGAATTTTCATTAGAATTTTGATGGGTTTACGTTCAACTCATATTTATAAAATAATATTGATTTTATGCTTTAAAAATATTTATTACGCAAAAAAATTTTCAACACGTGCTTTACATGAATTTGCCTTTACAGTATCTTTTTTATTCTTAGGAGGACAATCACTGTTGGACATTGTCCAATACATCTCATGGACATATTGAACAGCATTCAATGTTTGTATTCAATTGACAACTGTTGGACATTGGACAATGTTCACCATGCCCAATGGCAACCCTGGATAAATGTAAATCAAATATAACATGGCTTGATCAACTCTCAAGTGAGGCCTGGTAGCAGTATATTTCTAAGGTTAGAATAGAAGTTCAGGTTAATATTAAATTAAAATAAACCATTTTTCAGTTTTCAAAAAGAAATGGTTTAATAAATATAATTGAAATGAGGTATTGATCTATCCAATCAACAATGTATTATACTTTGATTTATTACATTCTCACTGTATATACTCGTTCAATATAATAAATAAATTAATAAATTAATAAATAAAAATTAATTAATTAAATAAAATTACTTTTAATGTTGAAAGAAGAAAATATTAATATATTATTTGCTTGTGTTATTGTTTAATTATAACAATAAAAAAAGAATTTTAATTATTTATAATTTCAATTCCTTTGGTTTTTCCCATGGGAACTATGTATTAAAATAAAAAATATTATTATTATTATTATTATTGTCATAATCATCCACAATAAAGACACTTAAACTTTCTCAGAAAAAAAAAAGATGATGATGATGATGATGATGATGATGATTAATTACCTCATCACGACCAAAATGTCCATATGAAGCAGTTTGTTCATAAGACCAACCATTTGGTTTATGGAGACCTAATTCTTGCACAATAACACCTGGTCTTAAATCGAAATTATTTTTAATGATGTCTAACAATTCCTTGTCAGTTTTAGTTGATGTTCCATAGGTATCAACAAAGATTGAAAGTGGCTCTGCAACTCCAATTGCATAAGAAAGTTGCACAAGGGCACGACGTGCAAGTTTAGCACTTACAATAGATTTGGCAATCCATCGAGCTGATAGATAATAAAAAAAGTTTAATACATTATTTTTTTTTCAGTAAAAGATTATTATTACTAATTTAACCTGTATATGCAGCAGAACGATCTACTTTAGACCAATCTTTTCCAGAAAATGCACCGCCACCATGTGCACCATGTCCCCCATACTGACATATAAATAAATAAATAAATAAATATATATTTATTAGATAATGATTTAATTATTTAACGAAATGAAATTAATTCCACCAATCGTTATTATTTACCGTATCAACAATGATTTTACGTCCTGTTAATCCAGCATCACCTTGAGGACCACCAATAATGAATTTTCCAGATGGCTGTAAATGATAAACAGTTTTTTCGGT